ATGAGCATTTAGAACAGTTCAGTTCCTGGCACGTTGCGAAAAGCTCAACAAGTAAGTTCTTCTCCCAGTAGAATCCCAGGGTCATGTTGAGCTGAGCTGTTAGAAATCAGCCCCTTCCCCTCCTTCTACCCTTTCCATACATTTTACAGATAAACTAATGTCACACTGTATGACTGGACTCCAGTGCAATCAGACTCCCGTGGGAGGCTGTATTTGGACTCCAGTGGATTCCTGGATGGTTTCCTGTCCCTAGTCTGGGAGGTGTCATGGTGCTCTCCTTCCCCAAATCAGGGCATGGAAAACCTTAGGGCCCAGTTCACTTCTCAGCTCAAAAGGAAACAAGCCAGGGACCGTGGCTTCACAGACGCACCTCTCTCCCTCTCCTCTTGTGGGGCCCAGGCCTCCAGCCATGACCACACGTTTGGAGCAATCTTCTTTCATGCAGAATCCCAGGCAGCTCATGTTTTCCTCTGGAGCTGAGTGCACACGTGTGCGTGCACATGTGTACACACACACAAACACACACACAGGAACATGTTCACCAGCAAGTGTGCATGTACACAGTACCGTACACAGTTTGGAAGGACACGCAGTCCAGGTGAGACCAGGCAGCAGAGGTGGAGATGAAAATTGCTCTGCATTGGGTGCTGGTCCCTTATTCCAGGGAACAGAGAGAGAGAGGCAGCCCTAAGCAACAGGCCAAAGGTCAGGCCAGGCCAAGGGCAGAGAAGGCTGGGCCTGGAGCCCAGCCACCACCCCCTGCTGGCCAGGACTCGGTGCTGGGTCCCCAGGGTCAGCTCAGTGAACTCCTGTGTGGCCCTAGCAGGCTATGGAAAGAACATGACCTGTTGGAGAACCATGACCCGTGGCTTGGCTGTGAGCGGGTACTGCAGCCCCGACTTGGTGGAGGTGTGTGTGTGAGTATGCACTTGTGTGCGTGCATGTATGTGCGTGTGTGTGTGACGTGCCTCTCTGTGCATACTGGGGGGAGCGGGGGGCAGGTTTTGATGCTGTGCTCAGCCTCCAAACTCAGAAGGAATGCCCCAGCCTGGGGAGGTTTTAAACTGATTTTAGATAATTGGGCTCAGAAGAAATCCATTAATTTTTGCCTGGTTTAAAAGTAGTGCATGCTCATCGTAAAAAAATGAATGTGGAAAACAGAAAAAACATGGTGTCAAAAGAAAAAAAAAAAAGAAAAGCACCTGTGCTCCCACCCCTGGAGATAATCACTGTTGACATTTTGGCAGAGTTGAGATTACGTGCACATACGGTGTTCTTTTCTCCCTTCTCGCTGAATCTGCAGAGAGCACTTTCTCACATTATTCCTCTTTGCAAACCTGTTTGAAGGCCTTGTACTGTTGTGTTGTTGCACCATAATTTACTTAACTTGTCCCCAAATGTTAGACGTTCAGGTGGCTTCCAGCTTGTCCCTACTGTGGAAAACCCGGGGTGAATGCACATTTCATGTTTGTGCATGAAGTGCTGAGAAGTTCTGCCTAAAGTCGCCATCAGAGTATGTGTGTGTTGGGGGGTTGGAGAGCAGTGATCCAGGCGAGGCTATGTGGCTTGGGTTTCCAAGGCTCAGCTGGGTGTACTTTGACCAAGAGAGGGTGGCTGGTAGGAACAGGTAGGGTGAGCTGGGACACAGCCACTCCTGCCTGCCCTGGACAAGCGCCCTGCAAATGCCCCTATGGTCTTCAGAGCTCCAGGGCCTGATTGCTGGACACAAGTATCCCTCCTTTGCTTCTGGAGGATTAGAGCTTGGCCTCTTGGTGAGGCAGAGCACGGGGCAGGGGTGAATATGATGCATTAATCTGTTCCGAGGGCCCTAGGGTTGGTCTCCCCAGCCCTACTCCCTCAGAAAGGCCCACATGGATGGAAGCGCAGAGGGTGGGCGAGGTGAGCAGGGGCAGGGCCGGGACGGGGGCAGCCCAGGGGGAGTGGGAAGCTGGGCAATAACTCCTTGGCTCCATGGCCCATTTGGCAAATAGACGTGTTGCCTTTCCTTTGCCTCCCTCAACCTGCTGGAGGGGCCGAAGTGGGGAAGGTGAAAACTGCACTCACTGGGTGCTGAGTGTGCTCATCTCTTCCTGACTATTGAAGAAGGTAGGGAGTGGGGGGATTTCACTTCTGAGGGGCTCCTTGAGGCTATGGAATCACGGTATATTAGTGCCACCATCACATCAATGGCTGTTTAATCCAACCCCTCTTGTTACAGATGGAGAAACTGACTGTAACTGTGCCAGGTCAAAAAGCTAATGGGGGCGGAGCAGGAA